CAGACGACACTAAGGTCAACGAACCCAAGGAAGAAACTCAACAACCAGTAAGCGAAAGTGAGGAAAGCGAGCAAGTCACACAAGAAGAGGAACTGCCAACAAAAAAATGAGACAGTTACAACGAAGCCAATCACCACTCCTGAGGAAACCAACAGCCCAAGTGGAGCATCAGGATCAAAGGAGCCCGCTCAACCAAAATCAACGCCTGCAGCTTCAAGAACAGCACTCACCATGCAACAGGAAGGTCAATTAAGACTATTAACGTTCAAAGTAGAGACTCTGATGGAGATATATCATGACCTCCCGCAGGACGCTGAAACCGAAGAGGACCTCACCCTAGAAGAATTAGACGGGCACAAGGGGATAATCGAGGCAGAATGGAGCGAGTATTTTCAGATTTATGCCAATCTAGCCGAGTTTCTTCCCCCTGATCACGAGTATGTCAACGAAATGATCCATGAACGAGCCACCAGGACAAGACGACAAGCCCTGATGCTCATTGCTCGGCTGAAGGGTCAACTGGCAAGGAAGAAGGACTCAATTAGCAGCTCAACGGATCAAAGCCAGGCAAATCAGCTGAAGCGTCTTGACATCAAGCCATTTGATGGGAAACCGGAGGAATGGAAGGAGTTCAGTGACCTTTTCTTGTCACTGGTGAGAAATGTCACGTCAATTCCACCAGTACAGAAATTGGTGAGACTTAAGGGATGCCTGAGAGGTCCTGCAGCAGCTCCCCTCTCTACCTTTCAGGCCAAAAACGAAAACTACGAAAAGGCTTGGCAGAAACTCACCAGGAAGTACGAGGACCCTAGACTCGTCGCTCAGTCGCTGTTCAACAGAATCCTGACGCTGCCGAAAATCACCCAAGCAACAGAAGAGAACCTCAGCGCCAACGGAGCAGCCGCATTGGAGACCCTCGATCAACTACAACGGAAAACAGCGCTGAACAGCTGATAGCCCATTTACTGAGGAGATCTCTTGACGCAGAGACACTCAAGCAGTGGGAACTAAAGCTGGGAGACTCAAAGGATTTCCCGAGCCTTAAGGAGTTCATGGCGTTCATCGAGGCCTGCGGCAGAGGGATCAACGCAGGTGCCAAGCTGCTATCATCAAAGGAAATCAACGCAGCCACAAAGAAGTCACCTCCAATAAAGAAAAGGAGCACCTATACAGCAGCAACTCACCAGCAGGAAATTAAGGAGCCAGAAAGACAACTTCCTAGGAACTGCTGTGCCTACTGTCAGGACAAGCATTTTATCGCATCCTGCCAGAAGTTCATTGAGCTCACCCTAGCGAAGAGAAACGACGTCGTTATCAACAAGGGGCTGTGCTTCAACTGCTTGGGGCCACACACGAAGGCCAAGTGCACGTCGGACAAGAAGTGCCATAAATGTAGCAGATTTCACCACACTCTCATCCATGGAGGGAGTTCATGGACGATGAGCCCGCCTCCAGCCCGACGCACTCAAGCTGAACCCGTCCAGACTGCTGGAACATCCAGGCAGCAAGAGGATCACGGGAACAGTGAGTGAATGAATTCAATCGCAATAGCACACTCACCATCTCATTGATCATTCCTCAACATTAGAATCCAGTACATCACCACCAGTAGCAGTGAACTTCAACAACAAAATGATCAATGAGAAAGCAGAGAACATCAACCACGAAACTCACCAAGGAGAAGCAGATCAACAGTCAGTGCTGTTGGCAACAGCACGAGTAAAAGTAATATCACCGAGAGGATTCACGACAAAAGCCAGAGCACTCATCGACCAGGGTTCAGAGGTATCGTTTATCTCCGAACAATTAGTTAATCAACTGCATTTACAGAGAAGGGCATCAACAGTGGAGCTAGTGGGAATTGGTGGAATTAATTCAGGATACACCAGAGGAATAGTTTCAGTCACTCTACAATCGAACAGTGGGACTCATCAACTGCAACTCAACGCCCACATTGTAAAGGAGCTCACCGCAATAATTCCGTCATTTTCATGCTCATCAGTGAGGATCGGCTCACTTCAGAATCTTCAGCTAGACGATCCCCATTATCTAAGGCCTGGACCAATCGACATCATACTAGGGGCTGACAACTATGGGCGGATCATCATGGATGA